TAAAGATGATTAGAAGATCTTTCTATCGTCATCAAGAGGCTTACATGGTGGAAAAAGAGAAGAATTTTATACTTAAAATAATAATGTCTTATAAGTATTGATTGAAACCATCGATCAACTAAATTACTAATGCGCTCAAATTACATCTCCGGTTAAGAAGTATAACATGGTCGCTATCAAACATAAGGTTGATTTAGTCACACTTAATCCATTTCCAAGCTTTGTTGGAAATACATATGTACCACCTTTTGATACTTGATCCTTTTCATCTAGGCTAGTTCTTGTGTTAAGTGATAGCTTCTTTGAACATGTCTTATTTCTAGTAGATTCTCCTTTTTTAATTTTATAAGGGAGAGTCTCTTATTTATGATTCTCTAGATACTTTGTATTTGAGAGGAGTCCTCTCTTCTTAGGTGCGTAGTAATTCTAGGTTCCTTTCCTAGTATCAATGATGAGTTGACCGTCGTTGGTAAAATAACCAACTTATGAACCAAGTTTAATTAGGCTTCTACTAGTGATATAACAATGTGTTGGTACTCGAGTCCTTATCTTATTTCTTTGTGCACTTAATTTTTGATACATTGTTGCTCGAAGTAAAATAGAAGTTGAGAATGGCAAAAATAGTACTCATCAGGCAGAAGTACTTTTACCAGCATCCAAGAGAAACTCATAGCATTTGAAGGTATTCTCGACCGATCAAACTACTAAGAAAATTACTTCCCAACAGAATATTAAGAAAGCTAAAACCTTATTTGATTAATTCAAATTCAGTGGCCAAGAGGCAAGATTCCCAAAAATATAAATGTTTTGTTCAACTTACAGAAGGCTGGCATATCAACAATTCTAACAGGATGTAAAAATCACAAAAGTACAATCTAAAGTGTTCCATGTAAAAAAGAATGATCATCATGTGATTCCACATTTGGCTATGAGGCACATACAAAAGCCGGTGGAGCCTATCTGACAGAAAATTTTTGTACATTTCGCTTGGGGATACTCCTATATAGTACGGGCACAAAACATAAGCTTTGTTTGAATAATTTCCAGATTCTACAAATATTAAACAGTTTCAGCATAGCAATCACAAACATGTCATGGAGAAGTCCTAAATTTCAATACCAGACAAGGATATGAGACCACACTAATAAATGAAAACTCAGCAAGTACTTGTTTGTGCACAATCCTTGTCCAAGCATTTAAGAACATAGCATCAATGCGATCGTGGAGGGTATTGACCTGGAAAGACAACAAAAGTATATAGTTAACCCTAATTGGCATGCCAGGGGAGAGTAGGAAATTCACATCTTACAAGAATATTTACCTGGAGGATAGGAGTAACCCTGTGGTGGATAAGGCTGAGGCGGATATGTAGGTGATGAGTAAGGTGAAGGATAAGCAGCCGATTGAGTGGGATAATGAGATGCTGGATGATATGCTGCTGGAGGGGATGGGACTGTGGGATAAGGAGAAGCTGGATAAAATGCTGAAGGAGGCGGGGTTGTGGAATAAGGAAATGGTGCTGGATAGCCAGAAGGTGTTGGGTGAGAAGCTACATGTGGTGGAGCTACTGAATATGGATATGATCCAGGAGTTGGTGTTACATATGGAGGGCCTGATTGAGCATGGCTTGCTGCTGGCTTCTGGAAGTAAAAGAGAAATTCGTGTTAAAGACATTAAATCATTTTTGGGGTGGAGAGCAAGGAAGAAATTCTAAGAAAAGACGGCGGCACTTACATTGGCATTTGCATAGTGCATTATTAGTTGAACTTCTCCTGCATGCCTGTAAAAGAAATATACAAGCCAAAGTACTTCTGTTACACAATGTGATTTCATTCATTACAACCCTACCCACAACATCCAGAGCAAAAGAGCCAACACAATTTCACAAAACTACTTTGTTATAAACTTAGGTTCACACAGTTCAAATTAACAAATTAACATTATTAACTGTAGAGATATGTACAGACAAATCTATTAATGTTTTTGTTCATGACACAAGGCATCCTTGAGTTCCCTAGAAATACATGAGATTCTTTCCTAGATTTGAAATAGAATTTGTGTATACACCCCTTGATACTTAAACTAAGTGTAACGCTTACAATAAAACAGAAGTGAAACATTGAGGTCCCTGACAGGTGAGGTCAAAGTAGAGCAATTTTTCAGTCATCAAGAAAAGAAAGACATAAGATCTAAACATAAAACACTTTCTGGTTATCTTCTGTTTTTTCCTATAAGAAGAATAAAGACACGATGTTTCTTCTTATTCCTTTCCTTATAAAAAAACATACACATGCCAAAATATATTTTAATTCACATTAGGAATACACAAGTTTTGAAAAAGCTGCTCTCTTCATTCGTCTCCAATGACTTCACAAATACTATCAAGAAAAAATCTTTATAGCCCCATGAATCCACCAGTATTAGTACTTGTGTGCTGACTAAATACCTTTTATATGAGAAAACAAATTACACATCTTGTTGACTCAACTTATATCCTGCAAGGTAATCAATAACAGAAATTCCTCGCCTCAAATCTAGTATATTGAACCTCAACTGCCCCTAATTCTTCACCCAACTTGAAGCCAACATGTGTCCCAATTGTGTCTAGTATGCCTAAAGGTCTATAAGGCTCTTTGTAGAAAGAGCTAATCCATGACTCCGCTTGGACAACCAGAAGTAGACAATTAATGGGTAGAAAGTTGAATAAAAAAAATTTCAACACTTGTGCAGAATACAGATAGCTTATAAAAGCCTAACTTCCACCTGCATCACTGTCCGGAAGTAAGTTGATGGCTAGTTATAGACAAGTCTATGTTGATCAATAATGATGAAATGAAGAACTTTAGTGATGAATGTAAAGAATCACATCATAACCATACGTTCCAAGACCTGGTGGAACAAATTACAACAAATTATCATATTAATGTCACATGAAAGAGCAGAAGCACAATGTAGAAGATTTTGTCAAAGAAACAAGCAACAAAAGACACAAATTCAAACTAAGAAGGACCATAAACACAATTCTCGCCGTAAAAGAAAGACCATAGCAAATTCATCTAGAAATGAACAATGTAGAAGTTGCTTTTATCAATTTACCTGCCCTTCTTCGTCTGAAGTGGCCAAGCAGTATCATCAAATCCCTGTGAGAGAACCTTCTGTAGTTGAAACCTAGAATTAAATTAAGTAATTTAAGGATTAACACTTAACTAACAAACTAAATAGATCATTCAATCAACTAAACAACAATTCCAAATTAGTCAAGAGAAAACAAATTGAGATTTACTTTCCGCTCCCTATCAAATCATCTGAATTAACAGTATTGCTTTTCCACACAACAACGTTGATCTCTCGCAACCCTTCAATGAGTGAAAACACAAATTTCTCTTGAAACGTAGGGTTTTTTCCGCCATCTAGCAGAACAAAAGCATGAATCTCATCAAAATTCACCAAAAATGTAAGTAAACAGATATAAAACCATTCAGTATCCTTAAATTTGTACATGTACATGTACGAGTACGGAATTTAAAACTGCCGTATTCAAGGCAAACATACGGATCTTGCCTTGAAATCCATTCAGTATCCTTCAATTTATTACAAGCAACAACTACAAAAATGAGAATTCAAAGCAAATAATGAAAAGTAATTCACAAAATCTCAGTATTTTTGCTATAGTTGAATGAAGTTCATACCTGGAAGTAGAAGAAGAAGACAAAGGAAAGACGATGATGAGGAGGAATTTGGGTTTCAAATTAGCAGAGAGAAAAAATAAGGAATGCTTTTATTTTGTGAGAACAAATCAACCAATAGGAGGTTTTCTGTTCATTTCTTTGACATATAAAAAGAAAAACCAAGTTAATTAAAAAAAATTATATGTGTTGTAAAACTAAAGCAAAATAAGACAAGAAATAGAGAAGATGAAAGCAATACAAATAGGGAGACAAGAGATGAGAGTTTTCATTATTATTTCAAGTCTTCAAGTGTATACAATATGAACTCTTATACCTCTATTTATAGTGTAACATAGAGGCATACAAAAGGTTAATCATAAACATGACATTAACATGAATATAATGGAGGAGGTTATGGAAGTGAAAGGTTACTAGAATAATAGTTTTAAAGTTGGAAGTTATGGAAGTTATGATTATATTCATAATGGAGGAAAGTAATGGAGATAATGGGTGAGAGTAACTTATTGGTGTAATGGACATCCACACTATAATATTTTATAACACTCCCCCTTGGATGTCCATAGATAATATGTCTCGTTAAAACCTTACTTGGAAAAAACCCTGTGGGAAAAAATCCTAGTGAAGGAAAAAGATTACACACATCTTTTAATACGCTTTGTGTGTTGCCTCATTAAAAACCTTACTAGGAAAATCCAATTGGGATAAAACCATGATTAAGGAAAAGAGTACAATGCGTATTTTTCTCCCTCCGATAAAAACTTTACTTGATATCTCGGAGACGATGCATTCCAATCTTATATCACAACTTCTCAAATATTGATGTTGGCAATCCTTAGTGAATAAGTTTACAAGATTATCACTTGAATGTGTCTTTGAACGTCTATCTCACCATTTTGTTGAAGATCATGTGTGAAAAAACTTTTGGTGTAATATGTTTTGTCCGATCTCCTTTGATTGTATCCTCCCTTCAATTGAGTTATATATTATTTTCGTATATGGTGGCTGGCAGTGGCGGATCCAGGATTTAGACTCCGTGGGTGCCAAATAGACTTATCGATTAAATTAATTTTATATTTGATTAAATTATTCGTCTTTTCAATATAAATTAATTTTAGTTCTCTATTTTTTCTTAAAAGAACGTGTGCAGCAATTTCCTTTTTCTTAAAACAATGTCTTTCTCAAAAAAATAGGTACAAATGAGATTCGAACCCGCAACATCAGCCTTCTAAAGTTGTCCTCCTACCGTGGCACCACAAGCCAATTTTGTTCTGTGGGTGGCTCGCTTTATATAAATATAACTATTATATATATATACCTATGTATATATAGAGTTTCCGTCGAAGTTCGGGGGTGGCGTGGCACCCCCACATGCCTTAATAGATCCGCCTCTGGTGGCTGGAATATCCTTTGCCAAAGGAAAATCACATATTTCTAAATATGATAGATCATGATTCCAACCGAATACAGTCCCGACTTACTTCATAGATCAATATTATTTCTGTATGATTTGAAGAAGTGGTTACCAATGTTTGATTCTTTGAATTTCCAAGATAATGTTGTGTCTCCATATGTAAATAATAGTCCATTTGCGATCGAGATTTATGCAGATTCAATAAATATTATACAACTACATAATCAAATTATTTCTGACTCAGGGATTGATCATTTCAATTTTATTGAAGCTCGTCTTTTATTCTGAAAGAAACCACATGTCTTCTATGTATTGAGTCACTTGCTTTGTTAGTTTGTTGTCATAACTTGAATGATAATATGATAATCCTTTCACATAACTTTCGTTATGTATATCAAATAATCTTCTAGAATTTGCATAATCAGCAATCTGTAAGTGCACCAATTGCACTAATACATGGCATTTTAAATCATTTTCATGAGATCAAAAGATTTTTTCTCTGTGATAAGCAGTCTTAAAATCATTGGGTACTCTATGGAATTGCTTTAAGATTTTTTAAATCCTTCAAGGATTTTCATATAACATTCATCGTCTAGTTAGACATAATAATCATTCATAATGCATATTCAAGTATTTCATCTATTGCTAGACTGAAACAAGTCTCATTGCATCCACCACTGGAGAATATATCTCAATTTAATAATGTCAGGATTTTGTGAAAACCCTTTATACCCTGATTCACAAACCGCATTGTATATCTTACGGTTATACTTTCGCACAATGATTCATTTGTACCACACTGACATTATATTTTGATCCATGAACTATAAGATCAAAAACATCACTTTTCTAAGTGAAACAAAATATGCTTGAATAGTGCCAATCATTTATCTGTCCACACTATATGACAGATTCGAATTTAAGATTCTCGTAACCATTTATAGCATTGAGTGCTACTTCATATCAAAGATATCGTCGGGTCATTTTGATATCGATTCCAATATGACATAACTTATCGAGATCTCTTCATTTTTCAGCATTTTCATGTACCTGAATCTTTGCCAAGGTTTCATGAAATGTTATGTCATAGTGCTCTTTCAAAATACTTACCTCATTATCATGACCATTTTGATAATTTGTTCCTCTCCTTCCTCAAGGAGTTTTACGTTTGGAATCGATTGGCCTATCACGCTTCTGGCACACCATAGACTCTGTCCTTCAAGAACTATTTATTGGAGCATTTGCAGCTTAATTAAAATATTGGGTCAGCAAATACATCTGGCAAATTATTTGCAACATTTTTCAAATGAATTATCTCTTGAACTTCAAGTTCACATTTTTTAACGATGATCTAGATAATTCACCCCACACATAATTTTCAACTGCTAAACATATCTCCCCCTAATATTAGGAGATCTAACATTTACCCCCAACCTCATTTGGGGATCCATCTTTGTGCGTGGTGGAGCAATAAAATCATATGTGCACAAATCAAATTTTTAGATGGAAATTTTTGGCTCCTGACCCTAAACCAATTGTGATGGGAGAACCTTGTTAGCTTGATGCACACACGTTAAATAAACTCATCTCATAATAAAAATTATTTGAGAGATTTGTTCTCATAATCAATGGTCTAGTTATAATTGGAGGCAAACAATTTCTGCTAAACCAACCAGTATTATCAACATAATTTTATTGTTTTGAACTGTGCTCTTAATTTAACAATTTGAGCAAACAACTTTACAAAACCAATTTGTAAGTTGATACAAATGCACATGTGACCATACCATAGATGCATCTATTAAATCACAATAGTAAGCGGTTCACATGATAGGTGAATGGAACCATATTCACCTTTTTATCTGTTCCAAATAATTTCAGGGGATACAATCCCAACCTTAGCTGGTACAAGGATCATTTTATCATGATAACAAGCAACACATAAGAATTCTTGAAGAATCTTTTATTTCTTTAACATATAACCACATGAATTCTCAATTCTTTTGCATCATATTTGAACCGAAATGGTCAACCGGTTATGCCAACTGATATTTAATCTAGTAAACTTCTAGTTTACTTTTGCATGCGATTTCATCATCATGCCTATATTTGTATACAACAAACAAGAGAAATGGGGGTAGCCTTTTGTGTAAATATTCATAACCCACTTTGATTGTAGTAATCTGAAGATATTTAACTTACAATAATTTACAGTCTCAATATAATAAATTTTTTTCAATTCCTCCGAAGCTTAAAAAGTTTTTTTTGAGACTTATTACAACCTCAATATTATGAACTATTTTCATTTCTGGATAGTTACAAATTAGTTCTTCCAAAACTCTTAATTAAGTTTGTGTACTGCCACAAATTTCACAACACCGTTCTTATGGTGACCATTGATGTTTGCCGTAATCAATGATACAATTTCCAATTCAAGTGTCTACGATCGTGCAATAGTATAATAACCCAAACTAAGGGTTGGGGTCGTCCCAACAGAGTGGTTTTAAAAATTAATATAAAAATAAAATTGTGCTCTAACTAGTCGGAGCTAAATATATTAATGAACAAAAATATAGTTAATTAAAGGGGGTGACACGAAAGTGTCAAATATCAAATGGGGGTTTTGTCACAAGTAAGTTAAAAATAGCGAAAATTAACAAGAAAATCAAGTATGGGGAAAGGTTCTTGGCGTATGACAACAACACAAGTTGAGATAAATCGTTGGGTACATGCTTTCGATAGGAAATTTGCAAGATAATAGTGACTAGGCTAAGCTTTAAATGGAAATAAGTTCCCTCTCGGGCAACTTAACCCATTTCAAATGCGTTCCTCTCAGACACCCATTTGCCGCATGAAGACCAGCCTACGCCTTACCCCACTCACTCTCTCGAGCTGAGTGTTAGGATATGGGACTAGAGCTCACCCTCTCGGGATGAACCTTATGTCGACCCACTCCTTAGGCCATCAGTCTAGCAGTCTTGGTTTCGCGACCTCCCTCT